AGGCCAAGTGCAACCAGAAGGGAAGATGTGTTAACCGGCAGACAACAAGAATAGAAAAAAAAAGCTGGCACAGGGGGTATGTGGAGCAGAAAACTTAGCAATAATGTGACTTCCCAGGAAGAGGAACAAACGGGGTAAGCCCCATGAGTGCACAAACACCTCTGTTCATTGCTCTCCACATACATTAGAAAACACGCTTCAGAGGGAGATCAAAGGGATTGTTTTATAGCACAAGTAGCTTTCCTTGCTTGAGCTAGCTTTTTGTTTGCTGATTTTTTACTCTGGTGGGTGTGTTTAGCAAATACAATCCTTTACTAATACTAGGATTGAGGGGTTGGAAGTTGGAGGGATGAATAGAGAATGGATAAAGTTCTTCCCAGATTTGGCATTTGGTCAAAGTGCTATTGAGCCTGATTCAAAGTCTGGGTCCTAAGTTCAGAAGGCCACAGTATCATAAACCAATGGAAAAGCCCCTGGTGGCTTTGTACTGGGCAAGACAATTCGGATACATCCCCAGAAGAGGCAACCAGTGAGTCAGTGAGTTTTCTCCCATAGAGTTTCACAGAAGGAACATCATGGCTCAGGGATGTTGCTGTGAAAGAAGTCCAGTGTATTACAACTTACTGAGCTTTACTGTAATTTACGTCTCTAGTGATAATAAAAAAAAAAGTCTTCAAAGTTTTGAAAAGTAGATAAAATAGAAAAACATATGCTTAAGAATACAAAATGAAAGAAAGAGAGAATCAAAATCCTAAATAGGCAAAAACCTCCAAAAGATTTTTTTTGAAGGTTTGATCACTGTAAGACACCTGTTTCCTCTTGCTATAAACTAAGTTAATAATATTATCAGTTTATGTTTTCTGAGAATTTACTACTTGCTAGGCACTTTGAGTTACATGGATTGCATTTATGTCACATAATATCTTTATGAGGTAGATATTATTATTTCCTGCTTAACAGATTAAGCAAGATTTAAAGAGAATAAGTAACCTGACCCTATCACTTTCCAATATAAACTTGGCAAGAAGGTAAAGTAACTCCAGAGTCTGTGAGATCCAAAATGGTATGATACTGCTCCCTGAGGAACTGAGAGGGGAAAATATAGACAGGCATTAGCTACCTGTGTACCACCTGCTTGAGAGTATCATTAAATTCTGGAGATGAGCCTCTGAAGACAGGGTTAGCATGTGGTTCTTTAGGTTGTGCGCTGCTCAAGGGTATCGTTTCTGAAGGGAGGCCTTTCACATTTTAGATGTAGTCTAACATATGTGGGGTTGAAGATCTGGGACTCTAAGACTGGAGCTGTTGATCAAGGCCTGAGATAGCAGTCACAGCACACACATATGCACAAAACTGCCTTAGCTCAGTCATATTCTGAGTATTCCTTAAAGTTGTCTCTTTTCTTCTCCAATAGCTTTCAGTGACTCCATTCCTACCTATTTTCAAGCCCGGAATGGGGAGTGCACGGAGAATATGTTCTGCCATTGACAGTTATAATCATGTACTATCTGAATCAATTTTCAGGGAAGAGAGGGCCTTTTTCATTGGCCCAGGGATATTAGGGGTCCTGGTGAGGGTCTTTAACTACAATCCACAGCACCTCCATTCCTTGAAGTCCCCTATCTGTCGAGTTCTTGGGCTGTGCCAGTTCAAGGCCAACAGAGTTAGGAAGATCATATCTTTTACAAAGAAAAGAACCCCATAAACTGTTTTCCAGAGGGGAATACTGGGTGTTTTTTAGGTGTGTCATCCATTTGGATAAGCCACACTTGCCCTTGTCCTCTTCCTAAGAAGACTGTCTCCTTTACTGCATTGGGTTTTTTTTGTCCAAGATGTGGATTAATAACCCCCAGGCCATGGGGTCGAACGGCAGTCAGTGACCAAACTGCCCACATGGCTTCTCCCCGGGAATCGGAGGGGCCAGGTCAGCTGGAGGGCACAGCTGCCAGACGGCAGGGGAATTCCTCTACTGAGTTTTAAAGTGTCCCTCGTCTCCCACTGGGTTGTCACAGCACTCTGGAGATCCTGAGCGGGTCAGATAAAAAGTCTGGGACCCCATGCTGGAGGGGACACAGAGAAGAGAGAATGCAGATCCGGGTGGTTTCCTTGAAGCTCCCATTACCAGCCCTGGAAAAGTTGTGCAGGAATAAGTAAGGACAGCAAGGACCCGAACTGGCCTTGATGTGAGTGGCCGAGGTGAGTGGCAGAGCTGTCCCGTGTACCCCAGTCTTCTAGCACCAGCTCTAGCTTCTGCCAACACACCGTACTGCCTTCTCTTTCTCCAGGTATAAAGAAACACCTAGAAGACCTGCAAACGCCAACGCTTCCCACAGCTACAAAGAAAAGTCCAAGCAAATCTTGCTTCTGTACTGAGATGGATGGAAAAGCCCCAAGGAAGCCTAGAGAACAAAAGGTGAGATGAGATTTTCTCCTGGAGATGGGGGTCTTGCCCTGAACGGGGGTATCACACATACCCCCAAGTGCCTTTCCCAGAGCAGCAGGTGGGCTCCTTCCAGCATCTCCCTCCTACTCTTCTGCTAGGCCCCAGCAGAGCACATGGTTCCTTAAAAACCTGTGGGAAACACACCAGTAAGCATTAGAAACAAGCAGCATGGGGATCATAGAGGCAAAACTCTTCTTTTATAGTTGCAAGGAATGCAGCATTAGTCAAGGTCAAGACCAAGGTCATTGCATCAGCCTCAGCCAGAACAGAACCTCCTGAATCCGGGTCCTGTGCTCTTCCCTGTGTACCACACTAGCCCTGCCCTTCTTGTCTGCTTGGGGTTGGGGTAGAAAAGAAGTAGGGCTCAGGAGTAGTCGGGAACCAGGAAGGCAATCACCAGCCTGAGCAGGAGATGAAGTGGCCTTGTTGCCCAGTAGGAGGACCATAGGGTTCCCCCAGGGGGCCTTAACCCCCCAAAGCACAGTGAGCCTTCAGGCCAGGCCACTGAACTGGAGCTCCCTGTTCAGGAAGAAGGGATTCCTGAAGGTCATTGGTGGGGAAGGTAACTTGGAAGCATTCCGTTGAATGATATCCTTCCTGGCCCCAATCAAGGCTGATAACCTTCTGGAGCCATTTTATCTCACACTGTGCTTCCTCATTGCCCCAAGGAGGCAGATTTCACCCCTGAAGCCCAGAGATTGCTGCACCATGGGCTTCAGGGGAACTGGGCACCACAGGGCAGAGACTTTGGCCTCAGTGTGTGCTGTGTTAGGACTTAGCACTAAAGAAAAACTAGCCCAGAGGAGTCTAGGTGCCGTCCCCAGAGGTAGCCTGGACTTGGTGAATATTAATCAAATTAAGGATTAGGTGCAGGTGCACCCTGGGAGGGCAGGAAGCTGGGTGAGGCAGGGAGAGGCTAGGACTGCCATGGCGGGACCTGAGATAGGGGACTCACTGAAGGCAAGGGTCTGGGGTGTGAGGAGCCTGGAGGCTTTTCAGAATCTGGCCTCTCTTGGGGCAGCCAATAGGGCAACCAAAGGCCTTGGTGAAGGTGACTGGGAGGCCACGCAGGTGACAAGCTGCAGCTACAGGCCCACCCTATAGGCTCTGTCTAGGCTTTTCTCTTCTTCTCTCTGCTGTTTTTCCTTCTCCTTTCACCTCCTACCCTTCCTCTCCTCTTCCCCTTTTTCCTCTTCTTTTTTCTTTTCCTTCCTTTCCCTTTTCTCCTCCCTTCAATTGCCCCCTGCATAGCCTTTGTCCCAAACTGGCCAATGGCTTCATGTGGTTAGTCTAGTTGGGGGTCAAACCATTGGCTGTGAATATCTTTTTTCTTTTTTAAAGATTTTGAATTTTTTTTTATTTAGTTGTAGATGACACAGTACCTTTATTTTATTTATTTATTTTTATGTGGTGCTGAGGATAGAACCCAGTGCCTCACACATGCTAGGCAAGCCCTCTTCCACTGAGCCACAACTCCAGCCCAAGAGCACCTTCTCAATATCAGTGAAGTACGTGTTAAAGCAGAAAGACAGGGGCCAACTATAGGTCCCAGGAACTGCAGGCAGTAGACAGGATTTAAAAAGCAGATTTTTAATTAATCAAATGTATCCACAAATACCCTGGAGAATATAAAAGAAGTATAATGTAAAATCTCTCTTTTCAATCTGCAAGCAGTAGAAGGCCATTGAGTGGTAGCCTTTATAGTGCCATTAAGAGTGGTGGATCCTTGGGCTGGGGATGTGGCTCAAGCGGTAGTGCGCTCGCCTGGCATGCGTGCGGCCGGGGTTCGATCCTCAGTACCACATACAAACAAAGATGTTGTGTCCGCCAAAAACTAAAAAATAAATATTAAAAAAAAAAGAGTGGTGGATCCTTGTGCACAAGAGCTGTGCACTGCACACCTACCTGTGCCCAATCATGTTTCAGAGCCTGAAGGTAGAGGAATGAGGTAGCCCTGCTCCCAGGTGCTCCTCAGGCAATGGGAGAGACCAGAACAGGGAGATCCCTGTAGACCAGGGGGCAGAGAGGGTCTTCTAGAAGCTGTGAAGGAGAAATACAGTGGCACCCTAGTGCCGATAGCAGCTTGGCCTGAGGTTTAACCTTTAGCTCCTTCTTACTGTATGTACACTAGCAGTGAAGGAGACTATCCCTGAAGGAACCAATTCCCCTTCTGCAAGGAAGAATGCAAGAGCCAAGGGGAATTCTCTACACCCCAGGTGCAGCGCCCGCCACCTACCCGCACTCCTAGCTATGTTGCACAATGACCCCACACAGATTCTCTCATTCCCATGAGAAGGGGTGACTCTGTCCTCCCACTCCTGAGCATGCATATTTGGGGGGGCCATGGAGCCCTGAGACTACCTTTTCCAAGGCCCTGCCATTCAACTAAGGTCCAACTTCAAGCATGCGCCCTTTCCACTCTACGTGCTCCATCCAAATTCACAGCTCGGCATCAGCAAGTGGGTGTTGGAGCTGGTCTCCTAGAGCAGAGTTCTGTCTCTTCTGAATACACAGAGCTAAAGGTAAGGGACACTTCACTGTGGTGCCAGTGACCCATGTGCATGCTCAGGAGTGTGAGGACAGAGTCAATCAGGACAGTCCTTGTCTTGCTCTTGGATATACCCACCCCAGCCCCTTCTCTGAGCCAACAGAGGTCCCAAAGGCAGGAGGTGCTCATCCCCTGGGCTGCTCACCCAGCTTCCCATTTGCCTCCCCTCAGGCCTCTTTCCATTTACAGTGTTTTTTTGCAGGTCATCCACCAGGGGGCAGGATGGAAAATGCCCCTCCTCCTTGTACTGTGCCTGCTACAAGGTGAGTCCCAAACACAGTCCAGATTAAGGGCTTAACCAGACCCGAGCCTTTCAGGCTGCAGAGATTCTTGGAGGGCAGCGCAGTGGATTTCTGCACAGTTGAGGCACATCCATGGCTTTCTGTCCTGGGGCCTTGGGCCATGCAGTGGAGCCCGGGAGTGGTCAGATCTGGGCTGGGGAAATGAGAGAGGTGAGCGCTCCTGTGGCAGAACTTGGGGCATTTGCTCTGCTACTCATTGTTCTGGTACTCTGCTCTCTTTCCTTTGAGCTGGTGACCCAAAGTGAGCTCCACTTTCAAGATAAAAGTTCCACGGTGTACACAAGAAAGAAATATAGCGAGGCTTCTTTACCACTCATTCTATAAACTCCAAAGTGCAGGGCCCAGCACTAAGGACATAAAAATGAAGACACTTCCCTCCTCTTAAAAGCTCAGAGTCTACAAAGAAACTACGTCTGAATAAAAGTCATCTCGTATTCATTTACTTACTTGTTTTACTCTTACTTGTGAAGGTCTGACTACGTGCCAGGCACTGGGGACAGAGAAATGAGAGACGGGATCCCTGCCCTACAGGTCCCTGCAGGCTCATGTGGTGAGGCTGACCAGCTTTATGTCGGGTTCAGATAATAAATGTCCCTATCTCCTCCAGTGGCATCTGGATTTTATGGTAATGGGGAGCCACTGAGGACTACAGCATGTGCCTAGAATGTCTACTACCTAAAATCTACTTCCAAGTGGAAGCTTAGAAATTAATTAGTAAATGAATGGAAATGCTATGATAATACCAAAAAGGATAAACCATGTCTGGCTTACCAACAAATCAAAGTATTAATGAATCCAAGGCAGCCCATATTTGACTAGGTATTCTCTGTATTATATAATCACACCACCTCCTTATTTTAATATCCCACTGTCTCCTTTAATTTTTTTTCAATAAAAGAAGGCTTCCACTGCCCCCAACCAAGCAGGCTCATGATTTTTCTGCTAACATAGTGAAAAGTTAGAAATTAGTTGCTAAGTGTCAAGTGTTCTAGTTGTCATCATTTTTAGTGTCCAGCTAAATATTTTGATCAGTGCCTTAATCTGTGTTCAGAGATTTACTCTTTATCCCGCCCCCCCCCCCCCCCCGCCAGCAAAGCCCTGCAGACCAGAAATGGGGTATGGTTGCTGCCTTCCTCTCTTCCCTGACACTTGGGATCCCAGTGGGGTCAGAGCAATGGGAGAGAGGAGAGGCATGAGGACTGCTAGGTCCTAATTGATGGGATTGCCAAGTCGGGGTTCAGAGCTGGCTGCTCTTCCCACCTCTTCCTTTTGTGGGTGACTTTGTGGACACTTGGAGCTGATGGTTCAGCTCCCTCCCTTTGCCCAGGTTCTTCTTTGGCCCCTTCACACAGAGGACCCCATCTCAGATGGCTGCAGGACAACTTTCTCCCCTCTGGCACCCACCTCTGCATCATGGAAACATTCTTGTCTTCCTCACCCCTCTGCTGGCAGGAGGAGAGTTCCTTGGCAGGTACAGCCCCTCCTCTCCCTTTGTACTGCCATAGACCTTTCTAACACCAAGTCTGGCTCAAGTCCCTTCAACTGCAGGCCCCACTCAGCCCTCCCTAAGAGAGGCCATAGCAACAGGTAATGATGGGTGGGTGAGAGCCAGGAGCACCCACCCGCACCAAGGGCAAAGAATTGGTGTCAGAGCCGTCAGGTGGTAGCACATAGATCCTAAAGTGCTAGCCCATTCTTTAATTCTCACAGGTGATATTCTCACAGATAACTAATATAAAATTCCCCAAATAACCCCTTAATCATAATATAAAACCAAGAGCTACTGATCAGTATGCTACCACATGAGTTCTTAAGGTATTGGTTCTTTACTTACAAATTAATTTGAAAAAATGTGCATTGCAAGAGTTGATTAAGGATTCTCAGTCGGTTTTCTACTGCTAAGTCAGACCTCCCCACTCTGCTGATTAATGGAACCCTGCTCCTCTCAAATGTGCCACATGGAGATCAGGAGAATTCCTGAATGCTTTATCAAAGCATCATTGCTGGTCCTTGTTTGTAATTGTGAATAGTCTTACCTTTAATAATAAGTTACCGTTTAATGTTGTCATCTGCAGCATGATTGGGTAGACTGTTTAGTAAAATTTACAGTGAGCATTAATATAATATAGCTTGTATGACCTCTACTCTTCTTGTGATTAGACCTAAGCACACATAACAGAGTCAGCTCATGTACAGGGACCCAGTACTTGGCTTAATTTATTGCTGTGACCATCTAGAAATTCTTAGTAACTTTCGAACAAGGGGTTTTGCAGTTTAATTTTGCACTGAGACCCACAAATTATTTAGCTGTTCCTGGCAATAGAATATTAAACAGAACTTTCTTGATTTCAGAGACCCTAAGGACATAGAGCAAATTGCGAGGTATCCACATGCTAAAGCAAGATGCTGAGCCTCCTTGCATGACTGCAGAAACAGAACGTACACCTGCTTTCAGTGATAGCCCACCATACAGCCATCCAAGCCAAAGAACACTCCTCAGAGGGCAGAGGAGCTGTTTTGGAAAGAGTTGCCAGTGTGCTGGATCCCTTCCACCTGCTTGTCCCCAGTTTAAGCCAATTAAGAGAAGGAACTTCTAGAAAGCCATCCATATGTCCCAGATTTCTTTTGACAGCAGGACAAAGGTGTGCTTACTGTGACCAAATGGGCCTCCATTGAAAGGTCCACCCAGAGGACACTGTGACCACAAAAGGAGGGGCAGATGGTCAAAAGTCATAAGGTGGTTGCCAGTATCCAAAAAAAGGTTAGCAGAGGAAAAGCTGGTCTCACAAGGAGGGATCAACCACCAAAGCCACCAAAAATATATCTGAGTGGCAAAAGAAAAAGAGAGAGAGAGAGAGAAAGAGACTGTTTTAGACATTTGCCATGTGCAGAAAGCACCAAGGGCAGATGATTCCTGTCTCTTTCACCTGTCCTCTCTGTTCTGTGCCCAACCATGGAGAGGCCACAGAGAGCAGGTTTGAACAGAGGAAGGAGGGAGCAAAACAAGGGACCCCAATTTGTCCCCCTCCTCCATGGTAGGCCTCTAAGTCCCGTTGGAAGAAAGGAAAACTTTGATTTCATGAGACTGGCATTGCAGTCTTTTATTGTACTGGGCTGGATATGTCATTTCACACTAGACTGGACTTTTATTACCCAAGAGAGAAAATTAAAGCTACTAGACAATGACTACTATGCCTGAAATTTTATCAAGGAGTAAAGAAATCCAAAGAGATAGTACAAAGAGGCAGCGAGAGAAAGAATAAACTTTGTTTCTGCTAGCACCTTATCAAATTAAAGTCACTCAGCAACCGTTATATTGTGGTTTGCCTAGGAATTCCCTTTAGGCTTAATGCCAAAGGCGACCTTCACAGTACACTCTTCTGTCCTTTCACAGTGGCACTTGGTCATTCCTGCTTGTGCAGAGAAATAGCCAGTGTGAAAAATTCTGCAGCTGTAATCCAGAGAGGTACCCACCAAGCAGAGCAGGATTCCTGTGTTTCAGGGCACACTCTCCTTTTAGAGAAAAAGCACACTAATATTTTCTCACCATTTCATATCTTTGCATTGCATGCAAATTGGACCCCTGTGTCAGGTGCTGCCCCAGCCCTCTTAGATGAGCTTAGATGGCATCTTTTCAAACATCTGTCCTGGAGCGCACGGAATGAACCCAGGTGGACTGGTTAAGGAGATCTAGCATGTGATCAGTGTTAGCTAAGCAGTGAGTAAGATTCTTACTGTGTTTTCATCTTCCAGCTGGGGCCTTGAGTACAGATGCATTCCACATCTTGGGGTGACTCCTGCTTCCCCAATGGCTAAGTTCTTCCATTTCTGTACTGATTCGGCTCCACTTTCACTGTGATCTATTTTAGTAGCATTTGGGCTTAAAATTCCCCCAACAGTGACTCTCCCCACCCTCTTCCTCCCCTTTGATTTTTTTCTCTGCCTGCAGCTGCAAATACATTGAAGGGCCCGAAGCTGGTAGCTGGGAAACCTGGGGGAGCTGTCACCATCCAGTGCCATTACACCCCCTCGTCAGCCAACAGGCACCAGAGGAAGTACTGGTGCCGTCTGCAGCTGCCAACGAGGATCTGCCACACAATTGTGTCCAGCAACCACTACACTCACCGTGACTACCAGGGTCGTGTGACTCTAGCAGACTTCCCACAGAGCAGCTTGTTTGTGGTGAGGCTGTCCCAACTGTCCCTGCATGATGTGGGACAGTACCGTTGTGGCATTGGAGACGGAAACAACAGGCTGTTCTTGAACATGAATCTGACGGTCTCTGCAGGTATGAGCCATGATTGATGAGCCTCATGTGGTGAAGGCTGAGCTAGGAAGGAGCAAGAGAAGACCCAGGCACAGCGAGCGAGGCTTAAACCTTTGGAAAACGCTGAGGAAAGATTGGGCAGGTCAAGACTCTCAGAGGTAGCCTTTCATTTCAGAAGGAACTTGCCTTCAGAAAGAAGGTAGATAGCTGAGCGCGGTGGTACACACCTGTATCCCAGAAGCTTAGGAGGCTAAGGCAGGAGGATCGCGAGTTCAAAGCCAACCTCAGCAACTTAGCAAGGCTCTAAGAAACTTAGCAAGAACCTGTCTCTAAATAAAATACAAAAAAGGGCTGGGGATGTGGCTCACCCCTGCGTTCAACAACAATAATAATAATAAAAAAAGGTAAATATTAGGAAAAACCTTCCAATCGAATGCACATGAGCTCTCCCTCCTTATCCCCGACCCCTGCCCCAATGCTGTGGAACATGTATATGGAGATGGTTCTGAGCAGGCAGTGAATTAGAAAATGTGGCTTCTTGGGGTCCTGAGACTTCTGTGTTCAGACATGCAAAAGGGGCCAGCACTACAGAGGAACTGTGACAGGCAGGACAGAAGAACTGGGACTGGGCTCTCCTGTGCCAGGAGAACCTCTCAGCAGGCATTTGACAGCTCCCAAGCCCAGACCTCTGTGGCAGGTTCCAGAGTGAGAGGGAGGACCTCGAGACCATGAGAGCCACTCTGTGCTGGAGGCCGCAGGTCAGGAGCGCCAGCAAGGAGAGCAGATGGGGTTCCTGGGCAGCTGCTCTCCACCCATCTGCTGTGCCTGGCTGCTCTGCAGGAGCCTGTGTTTCTTTTTTCCTTTTCTGAAGAGCAGTACCTAATGGGCTGTGCACCTCTGCGGTAAGGGCAGCACCTGGAATGTGGACAGCTAGATAGAGAATATGTGTGCCTGGGAGAAGGAGCTAGGAATTTGCAAGGGTCTAGAGGATACATCTGGGATTCCCACCTCTCTATTGTATCCAACATATGGGTCAAAGACTGCACCTCTGAGTGAGGCTGCATGCTGTTTAGCAAATATTTTAAACCCAGTGATCTTTGCTAAATCTAGTTGGTGCCCTGGATAGCCTCCCCATGTGTCCCTCTCTGCTGTTCACACAGGTCCTTCGGAAACCATCCCCACAGCCACTTCAGCTGCTGGTGAGCTAGTCACGACATCCTTTGAGACAGGATCTCCAGCATCCAACAGATGGACCCCAGGAGCCACCCATACTCTAGGACAGGGGACAGAATGGGACAGAGTTACTTCAACTTCCGGAACCAGCAAAATCACAGCTCCAGCAAAGGGAAGACAAACCCCTGCTACAGCCTGGGAAGAAGCTCTGGAGACAGGCAGTGGGGCAGAGGGGTCCATCAAGGCAACAGTCCCTGCTCCAGAGAGTCCAGCTTCAAAACCCAGAAGTGTGTTCAAAACAACAGAAAGTGTTCAGGAGTGGGGCACCTATAGCTTAGTCACGAACACACCTAGGGCCAGCGAGAGTGGGAAGGAGAGGACTACTGAGGCTGATAGGGCAGGGCAGGAAACAGACAGGGTCAGGATGGAGCCAGATGCAGCCAGGAGAACCACAGGAACCATGAAGCCATCAGCCCCAGTCTCAGAACAGCTGGCCCAGGAAACCCTCCGAGAAGCAACACCTGTTTCTAGGCAACAAGCCCTGGGCTCCACTGAAGGAGCAACCCCACCTACAGGCATGTGGACCTTGGACACCACGAGCACAGAGGCAGCACCTGTGGAAGGAAGCACTTATGGAGACCTACACAGCACTGTGGGATACAGGGGTCCCCAAGCAATGCCAAGTCAGACTCCAGCAACGGGTCCCCAAGCAACACCAAGTCAGACCCCAGCAACTGGTCCCCAAGCTACGCCAAGTCATACCCCTGCAATACCAACTCAGGCCCCAGTAACAGGTCCCCAAACAATGCTAAGTCGGACCCCAGTAACAGGTCCCCAAGCAACGCCAAGTCAGACCCCAGTAACAG